TTCATCTCCAACGAGGCAATATGGTAGTATGGGACCATTTTCAAAAATAGTCTCTGCATTTGGTACATTTAGCTTTTTTTGTTCAAATTTTTTGCCAAACTGACATTCTCTAAAAATACCACCATCGCTGCGTCTTCCATAGGCTCCAATATCGACAAATGTGAATAAGTAATTGGCATCACATATTGCCATTAAAACAACACTATGGCTGTGTTTATAGTTATAATATGTAGAGCCAGCATTAGCAGGACACTGAAAAAGTATATTATTATAAGTATACATTATTATAATAGTTGCGTTCAATTTGCAAATCAAAGGTGTAAAACTGAATGCAAATATTGTCAAATTGAATGAATTTATAATAGTATAAAAATACATACTTGAATAACAATGTGTTTTCCATCGATGGCACCAATGCAATGAGGAAAATTGCATTGATTTTCAAAATCTGCTGCAATACGCAGCCAATCTTCCTTTGTTAAAGATGATGGAAGGACAACTGGACACAACATGTTCCAAATTGCTTCACATGTTTCGGATATAATATTACTTATTGTTGTACATCCTAATAAGTACTGGTATGATATTGATACCATTGAGTCGCCACAAGCCAAATATCTATAATATGTGAAAGATAACTATATAAGTTAAATCATTTATAGCTTGTATTGTCTAATGCATTGCTTTCATATTTTTATGCAATTATTTTAAAAAATGTAATAAAACAAACCTTAGAGTCAAACACAAACGTTCTTCAGCACTGACAGGCTCTCTAATATGTGTCTGCTTTTGAAGTTTTGGTCCAACAATTTGTAGTAAATTTTCCAGTTGCGTTGATGACATACAAAAATAATTCAGAAATCTTGCACTTTCTAATCTCATTCGGTAAAATAGCTTTGTAAAATCCATATTTATTATGATTTTGAAAAAATAGTGCGACCCAAAATTTTTTTTTCGAATAATGTCTTTTTTGTTTCTGATATGTCGATAGCAATATAATAAAAACGATATCATTTTCAAATTGTATTTGACGTTTTCGTCGAATTATTTGATTACAATTAGATATCCAATTATAATATTTTTTTCTTTTGGAAACTGCCATTATTGCTTTCTACAACACAACTTTGTCGCTGCAATCTTTTTTCATGTGCACAAGCTGCCGCTGTAATAGTTTAGCGACAAAAGTCGTCACGTGATCATTTTTGTCGCTCAAACGATCAGTTTCAGCGGCACGTGAAAATGCACCTTAAAGCTGCGGTCCACTTGACGCTACAAATGCTCCGAAGCATTCCTCTTCTCTTTTTTTTCAATGAAGAAAGAAGGAGAGGAAAAACGCTCCAAAGCATTTGTAGCGTCAACCCTTATGAAAAAGTAGTACTGGTTTTAATACTGGAAAAAGTATTGGTGAAAGTACTGGAGACAGAAGTACTCAAAGTACTACTAAATTCGACCATACTGACTTCGTCAGTACTCCTTCCCAGTACTCATCCAATACTCATTCAGTACTCCCTTCAGTACTTCCTCTAGTACTCCCTCCAGTACTCCCTCCAGTACTCCCTCCAGTACTCCTTCCAGTACTCCCTTCAGTACTCCCTCCAGTACTCTTTTAGTACTTATTGAATACTCGTGGGATACTAACGTGTGGTACAGGCGTAGTACTTGCGCAGTACTATCCAAGTAAAACGAAAAGTCAAGATAATATCAAAATAACGTCATATTGATAGTTTAGTGTGTTAATTTAGTATTTGATTAATTTAGTATTTCCAAGATACGTTACGAAAAAGTAGTACTAGCAATCAGTACTCAGTACTGAGTGATCAGTACTCGTAGTATTGACAGTATTAGTAGTTAATACTTATGAATATTGCAGAATGATCAGTACTGTGCCTCTTAGTTCTTACAGTACTGGCAGTACTATCACGATAGTACTCCGAATATTAATCTGATAAAGTACTGACCACTTCAATACTTTGAAGTACTAATGAGTATTATTGCTTGTAGTACTGCCAGTACTGTAAGCACTGACAGACACAGTACTGACCATTCTGCAGTATTCATGAGTATTAACATACTAATACTGTCAATACTACGAGTACTGATCACTCAGTACTGAGTACTGATTGCTAGTACTACTTTTTCGTAAGGGAAGTGGACCGCAGCCTAAGTTAAGCGGGGAGTACACACTTCTGCACAACGCATAATGCGTAAGCATAAGAAAATTGATTGGCCCATACACATGTGCATAAGGAAATAGACCAATCAGTTTTCTTATGCTTACGTATTATGCGTTGTGCAGAAGTGTGTGCTTTCCGCTTTACTACATATAATACTCACGTAAACGTAAAATAAAGTACTATAATTCCTGTCACATGCACTTAGTCGCATAAAAGAGTCACGGTGCGGTCGCGCTTCGCGTCGTATAATAATAATAGGATAATTACATGTAAATAAAACCTTGAATCAGAAAAAATATTAATCGTCGCATCACGTATAAAGAGTCACGATCGGTATCGCTCCGCGCGTATACTTGATGATGAGACACAACCGTGTAGGTTAACTGACTGTGACAGCGCGCTGAACCGGCTAACTGCACTAACTGCACTGAGCGCAGTACGCACACGTAATAAGAACATACCGATTTCGAAACTGGCGATAGTAGCGCGCCAGTGTCGAAAAAGTGAAAGGGACATTTTTCTGATTGGTTGAGAGACGTCGGCGTTAGGAGGAGTATCTTAATAATCAATTTTCACATTTTCGACTTTACGTCGCAATATCTCCGCTCGTAGGGCACGTAGCGGAAAATGTTATAGGAGATACCCCCCCAATTCGAACCCTAAGCTATCGATCAAGCCTACTTAGAACTTGATCCGTTCACTCGTTATATGAGATCTCAACATCTCGAGTACTCGCAACCTGTCGCGTCGCGTAAAAGAGTCACGGTCGGTCTCGCTTTCCTGTGGCTTGACCTGTATACCTGTATATACTTGTACTTGTTGACGCGGGTCTTGACGCGAGACACTACCGTGTCTCTTGATTTGACAAACCCGAAAAAAAATTTCTTATTTGTTCATATTAGTTTATATTAATTTATAAACCCCATACAAAAAAGTCTAATACATTTAAATCTGGCGACCGTGCCGACCAGGCGATTGGGCCACCACACACCTATCCGGAAAACGCGCGTTTAATATTTCGCGCACTTGACGACTAAAATGAGCCGTAGATCCGTCGTGCTGAAAAATTAGCTACGTCCGTACGCGAAGGGGCACATTCGCGAGAAGAACTGGCAATTAATTTTCAATAAAATTGCATAAATATTGCCAGTTAAATGCGGTGGGAGGAAATATGGACCGATCTGGAAATAATGAATGAAAATGTTTCTTCACTTAAACAACAAGAGAAAATTGCTTTCTTTCTACTTTTACTTACGGTCTATCGGGGAAACCACTATAAAAAAAACGCACCAAGCTATCTATGATAGCGTATCATTTTCCTGCCATCTAAAAGACGAGAGGCTAAAAGCCAGCGCACGTACATTGCCGTAGTATCTTACGTTTTACGTACAGAAATTACGTACGAGAATCTTGCGTTACGCGGCACGTACGCAGCAAAAAATCGTATGTACGTATGGGTACATACGTTAAAATTTTCTTGTTCTAAAATTTCTTACCAAAATTTAATTATTACTTCAATGTAAAATACACGTACAACAGCTATTTTATTATTTTCTTAACATTTTCATGTGTTACATTTATGTCAACGTGATAACTTAACATTTTATGCTATGTCATGTAGAAATTAAATATTATTTTGAGTTCTTTTAACACAATTATTTTTTAAAAAATCAACACGTCTTAAACACTTTTGTTTTAACATAAACAAAAGTTAAAGTAAAGCTTTAAATAATCGTAAACTTTGACATACAAAATAATTAAATTTACTAAAATTAAATAAATATTTCTATTACACATAATTCAAGTTGTAACGGCCTGCCTTTTGGCTGTTTATATCGAACGCGGACTAGCTCGCCGGACCAGGAGTTCGATGGTAGGCCCAGAGACAGAAGGCAGTTTTGATACGGAACGTGGTTTATTACGGTGGTTCAATTACAACAGACTGTCGCGATAGTTACAACTTTCGGGAACGCATTTGGTGTATGCGGCGGACGCGGGCGGATTATATTCTATAAGACGGTCGCGATATTTACAAATTTCGGGAACGCATTCGGTTTATGCGGCGGACGCGAATCCGGTGGTCCGTACCGGCGCGATGCGGTACGCGTGCGAACGGGCCTTTAAGCCGGCCAATGGCTGGTCGGCCCGCGGCGCGAGATTCGCGGCGCGGGCGCGTGTATGTTATCCGGCGCGGTTTCTTTCTCGCGATACGATCCGGTGTTAATTACGCGGCGCGTTGGGAAGGAAAACGAACGGCCAGGGGTTAGGCTGGTCGATCGGTTGACGAGGAGGTCCGACTGTTCCGGCGGCAAGAACCCTTGTCGAGAGGCCGGGCACGCTCGACTCCTGGTTACCGTGGCAGACGGGGTGTTCCGGGTAGGAAGGCGGTCAGCGCTCAAGAACTCTTGAACGAGGCACAGAACGCTGTACCCCGTTTCGCAAGCTGGCCTAGGAAGCGGAAAGGTACTCGTCTCCGAGGGTAGCGGAGCATAGGTAGCTAGACTCGGATCGAAGTGTGTCTACCTGTCGCGGCGCCGGTATTTTATACTCGCCCGGGTGGTACGCTAGGGAGGGGAGGCCGGTTCCTGCGTGAGCCGCGCCGCCGGCGGAGCGGAGCGGAGCGGAATCGGCGCGGCGATAAGCGTGCTCGCGCTCGGAGGCGCTCGGCTCCCCTCGGTTTCTGTCGGAGACCCGGGAAGATGTCGGTGCGGCGGAGTGCCGCGCACACGACCGGAGTTAAGTCGTTTAAAAATAAGGTGGGCGCACCGCGCCCTTTCCTCGCCCGATGGAGATCGTCGGGCGGCATCCGGCAGTTCTTCGCCGGGAATGATGCATGTGTGGGGGTGCATCGTTACAAAGTTAATATAATTAATATTATCTAAGGCGTAAGACGCTACGGCAATGCCTGTACAATACGTGTGCTGGTTCTAATACTTTTTCGCCGCAGTGTATATCATCTTTCGCTCGCCCGGCTCGCCGCTCGTCACGCGCCGCGCGCCCCTCACCACTCGTCACGCGCCGCGCGCCCCTCACCACTCACCGCGCGCCGGGCTCCGTGCCAGCTGAGACCCGCCTCTATCGCTCCTTGTACGCTCATTCGCTTAGACGTTTCAATTAATAACTCGTTAACTATTGCAAATTTTACAAAATAGTACATGACTTTTCTCTTCACAGTTTGACCCAAACTACCCCAGCCATTCGGCTGGATACTTTCATTTCTGACACCCTGTATAAGATTATACTTAAAGAGGTTTTATGGAATATATAATCATATATTTTCATATATAGCCATATAATATTGTTTAAGATTATGTTTCCATTTCTTATATAACCATATATAATTATATATCTATTAATATGAACAAATATGAGGTATTCTTTTCTGGGTATATAATCATATATGCTCATATATAGCTCTATATAATTATATATTCCCATATATGGCCATATAATATTGTTTAAGATTATATCTTTCATTTCTTATATGATCATATATCTACTAATATGAACTAATATGAACAAATAAGAGGTTTTTTTCCCGGGTATTGATTAAAATGTCTGAGCAAATGGACGTATAAGAAGACTTGTAGGCATGTAAAATGGTTTACAATTAGGTCTTTTAGCAAAGGTGAGCATCCTCTGATAGCAAGAAGTAGAGTCACATAGCGA